CTCGAAAATAACAACACTACTTCAAAGATGTTTCAGGCTTGCATTGAAGCTATTGAAAATGATCTGGTGCACATAGACATAGCAATAATATCATATACACAACGTGGTTAATACTGTCATTGTTCCTTACATGTAATTAACTTGTGTTACAATCTTTCTGCCTAAAAGCTGTAACACATTTACAAGTTTTATTTTGACTGACATTTGTTAATGCACTGTATAGATGTGTGTGTGTGCGCAGTGTGAGTGTGCACTTACAATACACAGACGCATATGGAAAAGAGCTAAAGAGTTTAAATGTAAATGCATTTAACTTTGGGCAAAGTTTGTGAAGTACTTTTTATTTCTTTTTTTTTTTGTGTAATTTATTTGAGAAGCCATTCATTTTGAATGGGAATGTCTGTCGTTTTTATACAGCTGCCTCAGCGTCCCAGTATCTGTTCTGGGCAGGAGGGATGCTTTGGGATTATTAATTTAATCTTATGTGAGAGTTAATTTCCTCTCCTTTGACTACTGTTTGTCATTTTCCTCAGCAAGGAGCAGGCAGGCAAAAGCAGAAAGCCAAAAATGTCTCTCTAATCTGGCTAAGAAATGGTGCTTAAAATTCAGGGCAGTGTTTAGTTTTTTAGGTGCATCGAAAGTGGAGAATTTTTACCTTCTCACCCAAATCTACCTTCAGAATGTTGTCCTATATGCAAAATATTGGAGCACAGCGAGAGTAATGCCAGATACAGAAATGGTGCTGCACCCTTCACTTTTTGCCATGCTGTGCTGTCAAACTAAACGAACTGGTTGCGGGGCCAAATCTCACAGGTATCGGAGAACGACCAGCTCCTCGACGCTCTTGTAAATTACAGCAGAGGTCTGAGATTTGGTCAAGGCTCGGTATTCCCTGAGCTCTGCGAGTATGCAGCGTCCCTTCTCTTAAGCTTTGTCATGTCAATTCCATTTTGTTTTGCCCTTTTTTACCCCAAAGAGATGGTAGGTTCGTGTCTGTGCTTGGGCATGTGCTGCTGTGCTGTCAGGCTGCTGAGAGACTGGGCGGTGTTTTACACTAAAATGATCCTAACTGCTAATAGGAAGCTTAGGCTCCTGGTAATGTAAGTATTTTTAGTCTTTGCAGCCTTTTCTGCTTCGTGTTTTTCCTTTCCTTGACTGTGAATTGGGGGTGGAAAAAAATGTGCAGGTGAAGTGGCCCATGTAGGATGCAGCCCTGCGAGCTGCTGGGTGCCGTGTGGGACGTGCTGAATGCACTGACCTCTCGTTGAAACCAGTGGGAGTTGAGGTGGATAAGGATCCCGCCAGAAGAGGTCCTTGGAGTGCTTAACAGAGAGGTTTTTCTAATACTTAAATTCCAAATGTTGGTGTCCACACCAGCTTTGGATGGTTTGGAAGGTTGTCCTGTTATCCTTTGTTTTGTAAGATTTGTTAACGAAAACATAGAAAAGGATTTTATTTTTTTTTCCTTTAAAGAATGAGCTTTAGTGCCTATTACTGCTGCAGGTTGGCTCTGTAAGTTTTAAGGTACAGAAGTAAAACAATTTTTACAAATGGAAGTAACATTTACTTAGTATATTTCAAAAATTTTTTTGTGTATATAATGTGTCTGATGTAATTTTTAATGAACTGGGCAATTTTATATTTTAAAGATTGCAGACTGCAGCGAAGTAACAGTAGCAAAGCACTACACTGAAACTCTAAACTAAAATTGTGAAGATAAATATGACTTGGGCTTACCTTAGTTCTAATTGGTTACAGCAGCTTAGAAATGTATGTATATAATATTGTGGCTAAGTATAATAATCTCAGTGTTTAATGATGATGGTTCTGTAATTCATAGCAAAGCTGTACAATTTATTTGTGCAAGCAACGCAAGGCTCCAAAATATGTATCAGCATTAGTAAATACTGTAGATTTTTATATATAAAATATATACACACTATTTTCTTATGTCATCTGCAACAGTTTTATAACTGTGTATCCTATTTTGATGTGACTGTATTTTTAACATGTTAAAATAATAATAATTAAACTTATGTTGTTTTGTCTTTATTCTTAATTATTTGGTTAGCTCAAAGCTGGACTTTTGCTCTTCTCAGCACAGATAATTGCTTTTTCACATGAATCGTGTGTATATACGTTTGTATGTCCCAGTTAATTTGTAGATGTTTATTTTTAGACTGAGCAATATGGGTTCAGTCTGTATAGCGCTTTAGCATTATTGCAGGGGCATCAAGGGTATTGTTTATAGTTTGCTACGCTGCTAAACCTAACCTGTCGTATGCAAAAGCTAGGAGCGTAAATTGTGATCATGATCTTCTGGTTTTGTTCGGATAATCTCACCCAATACCAGTTCAAAAGAAGGAAATTATTGGCATGAGAGACTTGCAAAGTTGCATTGATCAAAGTGCAAAATAATAGTCTGCAGAGCGTGGCTGCTGTGTGTCTCGCATGTTTAGAGGATGTATATAGCTTTTCTTCTTAAAAAAAAAAGATGCGTGTCATTTATTTGTAGTGCAAAATACACTCTTATCTTCATTTAACTGGACAAACCAAAGTAAAGGTACTGCCAGATTCAAATCTGTGGTCCATACCAGTAACAAACCCTCTCGATGCGGAGTGAAGTCGGACACAGCTGTGCCACTGTCTTGCTGGCAGAGGGAATCATCTCAGTGCAGTGGGTTAGATCTCCTCGTAAGAGCTTTTCTGTCACTGCTTGCTTTGATCTGAAAACACTCAAGCAGTAAGTGTCAACATAAAATACTTGAGACCTTTTCTTCCTATGGTCTCAAAATTTTCCCAAATTCACCTGCTTTGAGCTATATGAACCGTAGGTTTCTCGTCCAAGTTAGTTGTCTTGGCTTTCCTTGTGGTTAGGGAGACAAGTTCAAGGTAGAGGTTTGGAGAGTGATTAATGCCACACTCTCTCCAGAAGAACACAGAAGACAAAGTAAGGATAGATGTCTGCCTTCTGTAAGGCAAAAATTAAGTGAAATTAATATAATTAGAATTTTAGAGGAAAAGGAAATCACTTGAGTATATGCTGTGGTCTTCTGCGGTTGCTTTTCCTTTCACTCTCATGCCATGCCAGGTTAAATCTAAAGACTTCAGTGTTGGACTGAAGCACTTCAGTCTTCTGCAGCACAAATTGTCGTGGCCATGGAAAAAAGACAGGAAGGATTGCGGTATCACTGGTACTCCTAACCTTTTCGGTGAGTGGGATGTGTTTCCGCGTTGCTTACCTCTATAATCAAGCCATGTTATGCACTACAAGCGAAGACAGAAACCATCCGTGCTTCTTCCTCATCTGACCCAGGGGAAGATTCTTTTCTGACGTCAGATTTGGTGATGAATTTGAGTTTAAGCACCCACTCGCTCGGGCATCTAAGGAAGAGAATCCAGCCTCAGGAAAACGGTCGCACCCTTTTCCTCTCCCCAGATCCGTCTGTGGCCACTCTGCAATGCTTCAGGAAAAATGACACAGAGCAAAAAGAAAACCCGTTTAGCCAGAAGTCTGTTCAGGAGAGCATTCCCTCGTGAGCCCCGTTGATGGCTACCTAAAGCCTTAAAGCACGGTATTGTTTACAATTGTTTGAGAATGATTAGACCAATGTGGGCAGTCCTGTTTTTCCCAGGGCCAAGGAGGAAGGTCCTTCACACATGGAAGTGTCGGTTACCTCCATAATATCTGACAGCAGGATCAATCCCTTATTGTAACAGTAACTGCTGTATCCTCACTGCCGATGAAAGTTTCAAGATGAATAGTAAGGGATTTTTAGAAATCTTGGAGGTTGCAGAAGAGAAATATTTTATTGTCGGGCAAAGATACACCTTTGTAATAAACCACTCAATAATTCCAAAATTAGATGCAAAGAGTAAACAACATTGAAATGTCAGAAGACAGAACAGCCTTCCAGTGTGGGGAAGCAAATCCAAAGCTTCCCTGAGGTACATAGGCGTTTTCCAGGGAGATTTCTCTCAAGAATCCTATCCTGAATTTCACATCATCCTCAATATGACTTTGAAATGGACTTGCAAATTACAGACTTTTTTTTTAATCTCCCCCTTGGGTGGCATTACACTGCATGCACAAAGAGGAATACTATTTAAAATATGCCATCAAACGCCCACCGTTTCATTTCCAGCAGAGTACATTCTGCTTTCAATACTTCAGTGAGAGGAAAATATAATCTTTTTCTGTAGTCCCGTAAGTACTGCATTTTTGCAAAGCTCTGTAAATGTGGCTTAGTTACAGTTTAACAGTTACTTAACCAAGTATCGTTTAGGCTCCTCTTCAGATGGCATGAAGCTGCTGCATAGTTTGCTGCAGGCTTTGGTGTTTTTTTTTTTTCTCTTTTGAGGTCTATTAAGACAATCTAAATGGTTTTAATGGCAGAGTTGCAATGAAGAGGTGACAAGGCCAGCAGTTAAAATTGGAAATATAATTGCAGTCATTTCAGGATAGCCTTTAAGTGGTTGCCGGATCTGGTGAGTTGGGGAAAGACACCATTTTCTGGCTTCTTTGTGCCAAGAGGACTTCTTACTGCAACAGGGAACGCGTAGGTCCCTCTCAAGGGATTTGATTCTCTGCTAACACCGACTGCTTTTCGTTGTGCTTCTGGAGTATAGTGGAAAATCAATGGTACATTTAGAAGATCCAAACCCACATGTTCTGAATAATCTGAAAATGAACATATCTTGTTCTGGCTTTTCTTTCTTCCTTTTTTTTTTTTTTTTCATGTTTATTTTACTGATGATCTTATTGTCAGCCTTGTCAAGGTGAGCTGTGCTTGATTCTTCTGGCTCCCTGCTTACTCTGATAATGTGCTAACTTGTGTTTTTCAGAGGTTTTGTGGTGCCTTTTTGCTGCTGTTTCTGCTGCTCGCTGGGAACATGATAGAGCAGTTAATATCAGAGGTTACTGTTTGCCTCTTCAGC